CTGCTGCTAGCGCGGGTAAAGCCTTTGCGACAGTTGGCGTTGCATCTGAATGCACATTTGGTTTTGAATTTGGGCTCCTGATATCTGCCTCAGACGTTCTTCGTCGCTTTGAAGGCCGCGGTGGCGATATGTCGCGTGCGAGACTTGCTGGTAAGCCCATTGCGAGTCTGGCGCAGTTGACAGCTCGCTGTCACCTATGATCGGGCTTAGGAAAAGCACGAATCTCACACGTTCATTCTTCGCCGGGTTGTGCTCCTCATCATTGTAGGCGAGGAGGTTGGCGTTCGTTTTGTGAGTGAGATGCGCGTTATAATCGCAAAACGCCGCGACGAAGCGATGACGTCAGCTGCCCGCGACATCCAACGTTGAACACCACGAGCATTCCGAAGCGATGTTAATAATCGTACGCGCAATCGAAGAGGTAGACGTCGGGATGCCAAAAGCGAAAGATCCGGATCGTGACGAGAAGCATACACGCGTGTGCGAAGTGTGGGGTCCCCGCAACAGCCGAGGTCTGTCATTGGCTGTCGGCAAACTTCCTTCTTCCTGCTCGGCAGACCTGCCCAAACAACGACCATACCTCAACGTCAACGCGCGAACACAGGCACGAAGAGGTTAGACGGCACCCATACTCCGGATATGATGAGGTTGAAAGGGAGACGCAGGCTCCACCGATGGGGATCTGGTCGTTCCGGGGTGTGGATCAGTGGATCATCGGAGGAGATAACGTAAAGTCGAAGGTATAAGTATCCCTATTGCTCTATCCGATGCTGGTCGCGATTCTGGACTCCCCTCATCATATCCTGTTGTGTCTTCGAGTTATTTGAAGCTTCTTCATAATGTCTTTCGATACGGAGGTTCTCATAATAGGTGCGGGCATGAGCGGCCTGGGCCTCGCTGTCCAAATCATTCGCAAGTACGGTCTTCGTAACTTTGAGCTCATTGAGAAGAGTGACGATATCGGTGGCACTTGGTTGGCAAACACATATCCAGGCTGTGGATGCGATGTAAGTTGTTCCGGGTCCAAACAGCTATCGGTGCCGAAAACTATGCTAAGCTGACTAGGTTGCCTCACACTTCTACTCCTACAGCTTCGCGCTGAACCCAGATTGGTCGAGAAAATACTCCATGCGTCCTGAGATTCAGGCCTACTTCCGCTCTGTGGCCGATCAGTACAAGATCGTGGATCACGTCCGCTTCCATTCCATAGTGGAGAAAGCAGCTTGGAACGATCTCGACAACGTCTGGGAGGTATCTGTCTTGAACCTCCAAACCAAAGAACGGACGACGCGTCGAGCGAAGATACTTGTCTCGGGGGTGGGGTCACTCTCAGTGCCTAAGCAGTGCGATCTGTCCGGAGTGGAGACCTACCAGGGCAAACTCTTTCATTCTGCGCAGTGGGACCACAGTTTCGATTGGAAGGACAAAGATGTTGTCGTACTTGGTATGTCTATTTATATCGGCTCGTCGGTTCTGTGCTTACAAAGCCCCAGGCAATGGCTGCTCAGCAACTCAATTTGTTCCTATCATGGCCAACGAGCCCAACCCTGTGCGTAAACTCACACAGTTCGGACGACAAGCGCAATACCTTGCAGAGCGCCAGAACCCATACTATTCGAATACCTTTAAAGCCGTGATGCGCTACGTCCCACTAGCAATGCGCCTCTACCGTGCGAAATTCTACTACGACATGGAGCGCGACTGGAGTGGTTTTGACATTGAGACCGGGCGCAGCATCCGCCAAAACCTGGCCAAGGAGAATGAAGCATACGTAAAGAGCATGGCACCGCCGAAGTATTGGAGCGCGCTCATCCCAAAGACCGAAATCGGGTGCAAGCGGAAGGTGTTGGACACAGACTATCTGAAGACCCTATGGAGAGATAACATTGAGCTGGTTGCCGACGATCCAGTGGAAAGAATCACTGGCGATGGCGTGGTAACAAAGAGCGGTCGCAAGGTGAAGGCAGATGCCATCGTGCTTGCCACTGGCTTCGCAACACAGCAGATGCTTTGTCCGATGGAGATAGCAGGGCGTGACGGACTACGCTTGAACGAATACGTGAGTTTACCACAGATCGCTACATGAGACCTATATACTGATGCTCATCGCAGTGGGATAAGACCTCACAAGGTGTCGCGCAAGCTTACTTCGGTACGGTGGTCCCACAGTTCCCGAACTTCTTCATCCTCATGGGGCCCAATACCGTCACCGGTCATCTCAGCGTCATCTACACTGTCGAGTGCCAGATCAACTTCACTCTCCGGCTGCTAGAGCCCATCTTCAAGTCACTGCCATCATATCGATCGCAATCATTCATTCCTCAGATGCTGTCACCACCACCGGCGACCGTAGAGGTCAAGCCGGAGGCTGCGGTCGCAGACTCGCAATGGACACAAAAGGCAGCAAGTAAGCTGGTCTGGAATTCAGGTTGCGTCAATTGGGCTGTAGATCCGAAGACGGGTCTAAATAATAGTAAGTGGGGAGGGTGGACGCTGGTGTGAGTCCGTGCGCTAACTCTGTCAGTGATGTACCCCGACTGGCAATTCCTCTATTGGCTCAGGAGCATCTTTTGGAAGAAGGGTGACTTCGTTTATCGTAACGAAAAGACAGGCGAAGAATTTCGACCGGTTGCTACCAAGACTATCCTCTGGCTGGCTACAGCAGGAGCACTTGCTAGCGGCGCCTTCTTCAGAAGGGAATGGATCCAAGATGAACTGCCTGTCCGGCTAAGGAACTTCGACGTGAGGGCATTGGTACGGAGCCTGAAAGCCTGAAAAATGACCAGATGAGGGGGTGAGTCAGCGCATGCCTGGATGGGACGCCAGTATCATCATCTAGGTCACCCACGCCTTCAGGCAACAACATCGTCCGATCAAGGCAAGTATGCTCATGAGACGGAATAGATGATCTTTTTTCTACCAATAGTACCAAGTGGTGCGATTCGTCTCTTGCTACGGAGCGTTTCGCCGCCATCAATGACGTCGCGCGCACGAAATGGTCGTCTCTCCAGCAACAAGTAACACTGCTCCCTGGTTCCCGCGATCGCAGCCTTCAGGACCGTCCCCGTGTCGCGTTAATAAGCGCAAGTCTATTGTCCAACTGTTCTGCACGAACAATACCAGCAAAGTGAGGGAGACGGGATATCTGACTTCCGGGTGTCCCTTCACCTTCACTTTACCAAATCGTCTCCCAGCCCCCTCAATTTCAGCTTTTCAAGCCCACGACCTTTTCGCTAATATTAATCGCACACTGAGAGTACTTTGGACTGCAAACTCTTCAGCTCTCTACACGATCAATCATTTCCCTCTCGTCCCCAACAAGCTCGACTTGATCATCTCATATCTTCTTACTTTACATTCCACAACCCAAGATACCTCCTGAGATGTCTCCAAAGAATCTCCTCCCAGATTTCGCAGTGGCGGTCAGCCAGATGGCTGTTGAAGCTGCAACCACAGCCTACCCGACCGACTACATCGTCGAGCACATCCTCAAGCTCAGTAACTACCTCATCAACCTTGCGGGAACCTGCAAGCTCTTTGGCAAGCCCGAACTCGATATCTACAGCCCCAGCCTCAGCACTCTGTTCGACCGCCTGCAGAAGAAGCAGGTTGGCCCAAGCCTGTTGCCTCACGGCTTTCTCACTCCCGAGCGCATTCACGGACGCATCTACGAGCGTGTGGACGAAGAGGCCACCGACCGTCCTCTCGCCGACTACGAGGACATATACTATGCGCTCGTCGCACGCATGCAGGAGATGCATCAGTTGTTGAACCTCCGCATCGACAGTGGCTTCAACCTTGCGTCTGAGGACATCTCTGAAGGCGGCCCCAGCATCGCCGAGCTTCACAACAGTCTGTCTGAATACTGGAACGTCCTCAACAACCCATCATGCGGCAAAGCGCTCGACGATGCGATCCGCGAAGCAAGGCTCGAGTCGCTCCGATACGAATTGGTCCACCAAGTCGAGAACAGGAAATTGAAAGCAGAAGACGCGCATGAGCAGTTGTCACAGCTCTACAGCTCCGATGTCTACAATGGCATCCTCGGACTCAACTTTGTCCAGGACTGGGCGCCGCCCATGATCGGTGCTTACTTGGAGTCGAAGTACCGCCGCATGCTCGACTTGGAGAAGGAAGAAGCTGTCGTCAAGGCCAGGCTGTCGCGCCGCCAAGCCAAGATGAAGACGCTGCGCGAGGCCCTCGCCGCCAAGTCCGCTGAAGAGAAGCTCATTGCCCGACGCCACGCCCGCAACAACGCACGCAGGGCTGCTCCAGTATGCGACGTCGACTATGAAGTCAGCCGGCCCACCAAAGCCACGCCCGTCGGACCCGAAGACGCCACCAAGCCCACCGGCGCCGAGCCCAACATCCACAACATGTACCACTTCACAGGCAAAGCATCGATGCAGCACTCCCCCGAACACCAAGCCCAGACCCACCCCGGTCACCACTACGAAGAGCACACGGCCGCCTACTGCAACCAGCCCATTGAGGATATCATTGCTCACCAGGAGATGTTCAAGGCAGCTGCTCAGTGGCAGATCAAGGAACAGCGCGTGTCAGAGTACAGCGAGTACCTCCGCGCTCGCGCTAGCCAGGGTGCTCAGCACAGGGTTGAGGCTAGTCAGAGCTCGGTGTCGTCGGGCAGTTCCTTCGGTCCACCTCCTCCTGGTTATGTTCGCGGCCCTTTTCATCATCCGGATATGGATTACAGTCAGTATGAGAAGTTTTGAGGGTGGACTACGTGGTAGGATTGGTGGTTAGGATACATGGATTGATGAAGCTGTCGACGGATAGGCAGGGCAGTGGATGCTTGAATCGATGGATCGATCAGTGAGGGCTATACCCAAGTGGTGCCATACGACAGATTATACGTATATAGACAAACAGTGGCACCTGGGACGATTGGTCTTCGACGCTCACGTCGTTGCGATTCCTTGCTTGCTCAGATAAACAATTGAAACAATTCACTCTTAAAGCTCCACCTTGACTTCCTCTTCTCAGAAGATGTAGTCCGGATCCACCTCAATGATCATGTTCTCACCGTAAACACCTGGTCTCGGTGCTGTGAAGTCTTTGATATGCCAGAGTTCCTCGTTTAGACGCTCAAATTCTCCAGGTCGCTGCTCTTGACAGTCGTAGAGATTGAGAGTCTGGCTTGGTATCAGCATACAAGTAGCAGCCGTCAACAAGCATACGAGAACAACGTACCTGCAACCCATCCAACCTCCCCACTACCTCTGTCGCCTCATCCCCAAGTAACCCCCCACACTCCGCTACATCTAACATCTTCAACTTCGCCCTCCCCTCCCAATCGCCAAGGGAAGTCCACATCTCCCTCCCCAGATACCGACACCGGTTCAACCCCAGCTCCTTACACCCCCTACTCTCTTTCAACAGCACCGCCAACTGCTCAGCCCTCACATCACAATTCTCCAACCTCACCACCGTAAGTCTCCCACTCCACTCAGCCGCACTCTCAGTAAGCACATCCCAAGCCTTACCCTGCTCTTCTCGTTCAATAGCGATACGCGACCGCGGGATGCCGCGTACGTAACGAACGCCGCTTTCGATTCTGAGTGAGAACGTGCGTAGAGCGCGGAGGGAGGTGATAGCTTTCGCCATGGGCAACGCCAATGCCCAAACACTGATGTTGAGATGCTGCAGCATGGTGCCATGGCGCTTTAGTATACTGGTCACCAACGCGCTCTGGAAGTTGTGCAACGTCAGGTACTCGTAACTTTTTGCCTGGGGGATGCGCAGCCAGATGTCGTACGGTTTTTTGGTACTGGTGATGGATGGGTCGAGGTACTTGAAAAAGGCAGGGGCGAGGGGCGCGATTCCCAAGGAGAGGGTGTGCAGGTTGGCATTGGCGAGGATGCGGGCGTGACGGGAGGTTTCTGAGAAGCGGAGGAGGGAGGATGTGGGTAGGGGGGTGAGTATATGGTTGAGGATCTCTGTGGGGAGGTCGAGGAGGTGGAGGGTTGACATCGTTGAGTTGTTTTGTCTGGGTTGATGAAAAAGTGGTGAGCTCAGGTCAAATGATTGAAGCTGAAGAGAACAGTACAATCTTTCAAATCCAAGGCTGGGGAATAGATAGATTTTAGTAGCAGGCAGACATCTCGGTGCCATTGTTGTCAGCAGCGAAACTCTAAACCATATATACTTCCACGTCACGCATGTCTTACACAAGCGGCATCTTCCTCCTCTGCCTTCCTTCCTGCCCATCATCATCACAGCGCTTATTCTTTCTCGCCGAATGGTCCCTGTCACCTTGTTTGAAGCAAACGTTTGACCCCGGGAGGCCGCGTCGTGGCGTCGAGCATGACTGATTGGACGAGGCAACTGTGCAGCATGCTGCTGTGTAAGGCGCCCCCAAATCCGCCCTGATGGAATGGCATCGGTTAGGTAAGGATAGCCTGCTTTGAACGTCCTCAACCTTTCTAGTTATAGAGAGCGTGCAGTGCGAAGGATCTGGCTGCATATTTGTATATAGCCGCATGCGCTGTTGTTGGGGATGAACTGGGGAATTCGTATCGAGTTCGTTATTTGTCGTCACCAGGCATACGAATGTGATGGCGCGGGCTTTGCGGGCGGCGTGGTTGTATCACTGCAGCAGGATGATAATAGTTGTGTTGTATTGATTGCATGGCAGCGCAAAGTTCGGAGTCGCCGGTGCACCGTTGGTCAGTCGCTCGCCGATGATCGCGCGCGGAGGATTGGGTGCCCAGGTAGGAGGATTCGGGGCCGGGGGGCGGCGGGTGATATCAGGAGCCGCGTCCGTATTCGTCGGTCGCTGCATGCAGACATGCACAAGATTGTTGGTTAGGCATCTATACACGTGATCTACCTATTCACTATACATTTACTTACTAGCGTTACCTCTCTACTATATATACTAGAGGTTCCTCTCTCTACATAGAATATTAATATATTATATACTTCTCTCTATTCTATAGGTTATAAGCCTATTAACGCTTCTAAGCGTAACTTAGCTACTTATATTACTTCTCTCTACTAACTATATAGCGCTTAACTATATTATTATCTACGCCTCTAACTATACTATCTTATAAATACTTCTTACTCTCTATTAAATATAACTACTCTCTATAGCGTTACTACTATTCTTAGTAAAGACTTTAAAAAGCTTAATAAACTTAATAACTATAATAAGTAGTTTAAGACTTTTAAAGAGCTTGCTTTTTTTAATAGTTATTCTAATATCTATAATAGTTAGGTTACCTCTCTTCTTAAGCCTAAACTTCTAACCTTTACTACTTCTAGGCCTTAGTAATCTACTATTATAGTTATAGAGAGAGAAGTAGACGAGCACTAGGTTTTATAGAAGACTAACAGCTATATTAGGTATAATAACAACTAACCCGCGAGAATAAAGGGAGCGCTAAGAAACACGTAACCTACCCTATAGTTCTACGTATATTATATATATTAGCGTTATTAGCTATAAAGAGATTCTTAGGAATTCTACTTAGCCTTACTACGTTCTAGCTTCTAGAACTTCCTAAGACTTACTAAGACTTATAAGACTATAGAGTTACCTTAAGTATATAGCTTAGGCACTAAGCTCTTATAGCTTAGTATATTTAACTTTATATAAGACTCTAGTATTTAATCTAAGAATTATACTTCTTTCTTAACTTCTTATAATATTATATTATTCTACTAAATATGCTATTACACTCTTGTACTATTATATTAATCTTCTAATTATACTAGTACACTAACCTATCTAACGCACTTACTTATACTCTAAGAACTAACTCTTAGGTTATCTTAGAATAACTTTTATACTTTAAACACTCTTAAGATAAGTAATACTATAATAGATACCTCTACTAATTCTTATATCTCTAGAGCCTCTATTTAAGGTAATAAGCCTAATATCTACTATAGTAATTATAATAAACTTAAAGCATAGTTACTCTAGCTAGACTAATACTTCTACCTTAAAGGAGATAGAGTTAAGAATAATAATAAAGTTATCTTAGCTACTACTTATCTTAAAGAAGATACTAAGAAGTAGTCTATTCTAATTATTTGCTATTATATAGATAACTCTATTAAAGATACTAAAAATATTGCTCTAGTTAAGAACTAGAATGCCTTTAAGACGAAGATGCGTAAAGTCTTCTTACTCTACTAAGAAAAGGTAATCGCTAAGTAGAAGATTTAATAACTACGCTAGACGCAGTCTACCGCTAATTATACTACCTAATTCTAGCAGCATAAGGTAGCTATTAACTAGAATAATAACGCTTTAATATAGATATATAAGTAAGATCTTAAGCTCTAGGTGCGATAGAAACTTATAAGAAGTAGAGGAGAAGTTACTACACTTTAAGAGCTTAAGAATAAAGCTATCTATATTAATAATAAACTCTATAAACTAAAGCTAGAAAAACAACTATTTGCGTAGAGAATGCGAGCACTAAGAAATATAAATAGGAACGCCTAGGTTTACTCTAAACCTTGCTGTTTATACTCTAACTAAAGATATTAATAAAGCTATATATCTAGAGTTCTAGAGTTATACGCTACTAATAGCTATAAACCTATATACCTTAATAATCTTAATAAAGAATCTAGACGACCTAAGTTTTATAATAAAAAGTAGAAGAAGAAGAACTTTAACTACTATGCCTATAGCAAACTAGGTTATATAGTAAGAGACTATAAGAGCTAAGGTAAGATAGTATAATAGCTAAATGTTCTATAACCTATAGATCTAAACGACTAGAAAGCTATATAGGCTATTAACTACTATTCTTAACGTAAGCAGCTATAAAGCCTAACTAGTAGACTAAGTAATATGTCTATTATAACCTCTAATAAGACTACCTAAGAAGATATCTCTATAGATAAGTGTAGCTTCTCTAAGAAAGAATCTAAAGAACTTATAGAGGTTATAGAAATTAACTAGACTAAGTTTAGAAAGATAGAACTATTTAAGAATAATAATAGACTATCTATACTATATGTTTAAAAAGACTAGATAATCTAACTCTTATCGCAAATTAACTAGCTACTACGATATCTTAATAAACCTAATATTAAGTATATCTATAAGACTCTAGATATTATAGCTAAAATATAAGAGAACTATTATTACCTCTTCTAATAAGTAATAGAAGATAAGAAAAATCTTCTACTATATATTGTTAATATTATTCTTACCTCTAAATAACTAGACTAGGTCTAGAAAGCTATTAAAAATTATAAGGACCCTATAATTAGTAATAACAAGATTATTATCTAATACTCTAAAGAATTAGATTTTAAGATTAATACGCTACTTATATACTTAGAAAGACCTCTAAAAGAATTCTCTAAATTAGAGAATTTCTTTAAAGAATTTAAAAAGTTTAACGAATACTACGATCTTCTAGAAGAACTTAAGAAGATAGGCTATAATAGTAAGAAGATATATAAATAAACTATAGACGCTACGTTATTATAGAGAAAATAAACTACGTATTATCTCTTAGATAAAGAATAAGAGGAAGCTAAGACAGTACCTCTAAAGTTAAAGAAGTAATTGTTACGGTTACAGAGAGAGGAGTAGACGAGCACTAGGTTTTGTAGAAGACTAACAGCCGTGTTAGGTATAATAATAACTAACCCGCGAGAACAAAGAGAGCGCTAAGAAACACGTAACCTGCTCTATAGTTCTACGCATATTATATGCATTAGCGTTATTAGCTATAAAGAGATTCTTAGGAATTCTACTTAGCTTTACTACGTTCTAGCTTCTAGAACTCTCTAAGACTTACTAAGACTTATAAGACTATAGAGTTACCTTAAGTATATAGCTTAGGTACTAAGCCCTTATAGCTTAGAGTGTTTAACTTTGTATAAGACTCTAGTATTTAATCTAAGAATTATACTTCTTTCTTAACCTCTTGTAATATTATATTATTCTACTAAATATGCTATTACACCTTTATACTATTATATTAATTCTCTAATTATGCTAGTACACTAAACTATTCTACCTTACTTACTTATACTCTAAGAACTAACTCTTAGATTATCTTAGAATAACCTTTACACTTTAAACACTCTTAAGATAAGTAATACTAAGATAGACACCCTTACTTCTCGCGTAGTAAAAGTTACTAGCAAGAGTAATAAGTCTAATATCTATAATAGAGAACGCTATAAGCTTAAAGATTAGCTACTCTAAGTTAATACTTACTTCTACCTTAAAGGCGACAAGGTTAATAATAATAATATAGTTGTTTAGGCTACTACGTTTCTATAAGGCAACGCTAGAGAATAGTCTAGACTTATTATCTATTAATATATAGATAACGCTATTAAGGATAATAATAATAAGCACCTAGTTAAAGACTAGGACGCTTTTAAGATTAGAATGCGCGAAGTCTTCTTACTCTACTAGAAGAAAGTAATTGCTAAGTAGAAGATTTAACAGCTGCGCTAGACGCAGTCTACTGCTAACTATACTACTCTATTCTAATAATACTAGATAGTTATTAACTAGGATAATAACGCTTTAATGCAGATGTATAAATAAGGTCTTAAACTCTAGGTACGAGCGGAACTTATAAGAAGTAGAACTAGTATTAATACGCTTTAAGAATTAAAGAACAAAGCTATCTATATTAACAACGAACTCTATAGACTAAAGCTAGAAGAACAACTATTTGCATAGAGAACGCGAGCACTAGAGAATATAAATAGAAACGCCTAGGTTTATGCTAAACCTTGCTATTCGTACCCTAACTAAGAATATTAACAAAGCTATATACCTAGAATTCTAGAGTTGTATGCTACTAATAGCTACGAACTTATACACCTTAATAATCTTAATAAAGGACCTAGATAACCTAAGTTTTACGATAAGAAGTAGAAGAAGAAGGACTTTAACTACTACGCCTGTAGCAAACTAGGCTATATAGTATAAGAATGCAAGAGCTAAGGCAAAGTAGTATAATAGCTAAATATTC